TAAATTCCAAATCTTAAACAATGATTCCCTAATGCGTCTGAAATGCCCCATTGTGTGCGTCAGAAACTCCCCTCACGTGCGTCTGAAACTCCCCAGCCTCCAACTACAAGCTACGCACCCTTTCACATGGTGCCAGTTGCATCTTGAACCTTGTATCGACAGCACACAGGTCCTGTTTGCGAGAGCTTAAGCATTCTCTCGCACACAAGTGATCAGAAAATGTCAGAAACATTGCACCCGTTGCAACACTCTCCACGGGAATTTTGGTCTTCAATATCAGTCTGAATAGGATGCCTTTGAGAAGCTATGCTTCCAAGCCTTGCCAGGATCCGAGTGGACAATTTTGCGGGGAGCCGCTTGCCAAGTGCGCAGAATCACTCCATACCACACCAGTTGTGGTTGGAATTTGGTGAGCTGGCCGCTTATTTCAATCATAACAGCGGAAGGCGTTTCATTAAGCGCTTAGTACTGCTGGCCAAGCTGTACAATTACAAGTAGCATTCATGTTCGCCACCCCGCTGATGATTTGTGGAGGTACATAAGCCTGCCAACGTTTATCCACAGGTTCCAACCAACATTGACTCACTAAGAAAGCAAACAGAAGACACCCGATGTGGGGATCGAGTGCCATCTTGATGAGAGTTTTACCCGGATCCACCAAACGCACTGCCGCACTCTTCTCTGCGTGATATAGCCCAAACAAGAAAGAGCGTGGCAACACTGCCCCTTGCCAGTGACAGTTGCTATCTTTAAGAATGCACCTAGATGTCTTTAACGCTTGTTTTGCTGGAATGGAGAGAAGACAGACGTGTAGATTTTCACCAAGCCGCAAGAGCAGCTCTCCTTTGGAGAGTCGACGTCTCTAAGCATGGCGAAGGGCGGGTCCCATCTTTGACCGAACTGCCTGATTTCAGGCCTCTGTTGTGACCCATGATTCCCCGAATAATTCCTATTTCCCGTTTTTCAAATAGACGGGGCGGAGCCCCCCTTCGTTCAAATAGAGCGTCGCGCATGCCCGTCTCCCTGCAAGGCAGCCTTTTGCCATGCGCGCACAGGCGCTCCCGGCCCCTGCATATCGCCCCACCTCCGGTTCTCTCCTGGCCTCACACAGCATCGGCAATCTTGCGATAATTCTGAGGCCCGGTAATGCAGCCTTCCCAGGCGAGGGGAGAAAACTAGGGGGCAAACAGAAGGGACCCCCCGATGGGTTGACCACCAAAAGACCTTCGACGAACCTTGTGAACCCCAGAAAACCAAAAAGAACCTTGGCGAAGGGAGTCGACTTGGACGAAGCATGACGAAGCGAAGAAGAAGGTTTACGAGGCTGGACCTCCTGACCGTGATGCTCTTCAACTCCCTTGTCTTGCACCCGAAGGAGTTGACGAACCGAAACCTCACTCAAGCCTAGACGAAGGGGGTGAAGCTTTTACGAAGGGACGAGGGCTGGACGAAGGCCAGGGACTTGCACGAACCTTGTCCAGGGTTCACGCGGTGGTCGACGTTTGGGCCGGTCCCTTGCGTTTACCCCCCAAAAAAAAGACAGCTGATGCGGTTCCAGGTCATGCGCGCACCGGGCTTGCATGACGTCCCGCCTCCATTTCTTCCTATTTCTCTTCCCGGCCGATTACAACATCAGCAAGGCTGCGTCCTCCTGTGACAAATAACTCTGAGGCCCTGTACGGCAGCCTGCGAAGGGGCGATCTGTAGGGTTGCAAAGCCGTACGAAATAGCACCCGGAGCCGGCCCCAGACCATGTCCCGCCCATGCAGTAATGCGCTTGCATGACGGCCCCCCTCTTTTTCTTCTTGCTTTGGCTCTGCGATTCCGACTGAGGCTGCTTGAAATATCCAGTAGCTATCAAAGTCCTCAGATTCAAAGAAGCAAGACTGCTGAAATTGGAAAAACTTAACGTAAACCAACCACGATCATGCATTTCATCCTAAAACGACCCTACCCCCCGTCTGTCTAGACAGATAGGCAATAGGGAGAAAACGGCGTACCGCATCCCCCCCCGGAAACAGGAGATAGGAGGGGGCCTCACACATGTAAATTCAGACCTGAAAATCTAGCCGGCGGACGTCACTGCAAAACAGACACAACAATGAAAAGACCAGCAGAGCGCCTGGTGCGGTGGCAGTTCTGTGCCTCCGCTTGCTGCGTAACGGCGAACTTCGTCACTTGTCTGACGGGAGCACATTTGCATACAGATGACCAGAACAATGTGCTTCCACATAGCTGGTTCCTAAGAGTCTCGGAGTCGCACCCAGGCTAACGCGTCACTGCGAAGTGGTGTCTCCACGTCTGCCTGTGCAGTACATCTGAGCTTCTGAGCTTCAAGTGCCTGTTGCCGGAAGGATGCCTGTCTCCACAATCCAACCCAATTGATTGCAGTTGCCAAGGCCTGCGGCCCCAGAGTTTGCCACACCACTCAGCATGACATGATACACAGAAAGCGGAAGCGAGCACGCAGTTGACGGTCCCGCCTCAATCTGCTGTCCATGATCTCTTGGCAGATCCATGTTGACGCACTTTGCTTATGTCTTATGACTGTCTTATTGCGTTGATCTGCAGACCTCAACTTGAGGGGGCAGTAGGATGATTGTGCGAATGCTACAGGATCAAGTCAGACCATTGCTTGCATGATACCTCCAGTTTAGCGCTAAGTCATTATTCACAGCCTCGTTGCCAATTCGTCATGTCAACTTGCAACACCAAAGGCAAATGATGGTATGTGGCGTACACATGTCCATTTACTGCTCCGTCGGCTGGCAACCTGAGCTTGATTAACACACTAATGCGGAGCAAAACTCATAGAACCTGCCGGGTGAATATCGCATGGGTAACAACAACTCAATACATCAAAGCATATCAAAACGTCGTAGTTCAACAGACTAGCTGAAGCACAGACACTTTCCGCAAGAGGTGCTCTAGGACCTCAAAGATGCTAATTTCTAGCTTGCCTGGAAGTTCCATTATTTTGGGCTTTTCTAACCGTTTTGATTTCAAGTGGTGTCTGCAGTTTTCTGCGGAGCTTTGGCAGGTTTTCATGGATGTTTCGACGTGATTTTTGCAGACATGTTGTTGGAGATGGAAAGCTGCTGAACAAGTGCCGTTTGTGGTCATAACGGCAGCTAACATCAAAGCAACCAGGAAAATGCACTTAGTTTGGGGAACATCTGGCTCGACCATCACGCCCTTCTAAAATCCAACACCTCATAACCTCACAGGCGGAGCAAGACATCCCGAACAGCACTTCAAACCGCAAAGCGCGGCAATCACGAACTCCATGACGCGGCCATGGATAAAGACTCATCATGTCAAGACCAACAAACTCAAACAACTGAAATTTCTTTCGCGCAACTGTCGCACACTGGCTGCACGCCAAGACAACAAGATGCCCGTTGTTTGGCCACCGCCCACCCGCCTAAGCAAAATAATTGAAAGGAGTTCTGAATTACGTACACGTTGAAGCTCGGGGAACCTCTTTTAACATTTTTACCGACTGGGAATCTGCACTTTCCGACTATGTTTGCTTCGCACGGCGGCTGCGCTTGAAACTGAATAAAAGACGCCTCGGCAACCCGTGGCTGGCCTAAACTTGTGTTGGAGGCCCTACCCTTCTTGCACATTTCAGGGCCTTGGAAATGCACAATCACCCCAGCCGGAAATGCACAATATCAGGCGGGGGTCAGCATGATAAGCTCCAAAACAGCCATGAGCAAGCGGTCAGTGCTGCAAGCAAGGGCTTTGTTTGTTGTGCCCATTGGGGGAATGAGTTGGGGCGACGGGCTGGGCATCAAACATACGGCAGTACGGCAGTGGGAGAACGTCTGCATGTGATTTCAACGCCACCAAAGTGTGCAACATCGGTGCCCCTCAGTAAATTTCAGCCATCGTGCCCCTTAATTTTCCACACCTGGGCACGGGTGGGGTCGTTGTACGTAGTTGGGTGGGGGCCTGCCTCGGCATCGCCTGGCTGATGAAGCAGGATGACTGGCTAGTGACACCCCGCAGGTTACGCCCCTTCTCATCACAGCGTACCTGGTTACATGCCAGTCCCCGTGCGAAGTCCGAAAGTGCAACTAGTCTAGTCTTCACGGCATGATCTCCAACAAACGGTTGATAGCGTTGAACTCTCGAAGGATGAGTGTCAAGGTCGTTTCACTGTGTCCGTAGGTGTTTTTTAGTGGGTATATAATTTTCAGCCAGGAGGGCGCTGAAGCCTTAGGCCACGCATTGCCGAGGCTTGCAACCAATGATTGGACATCCTCGTGGCACACTGCCCGATGAGGCTGGTTGTCCAGTTCTTGAGGCTCCTGGAGGCTTTCGCACCCCTCCCGCCAGGCAACGTGCGGTGTGTCTGAAGGACCAGGGGCTCCTCCCGCCGTAGACAACTGCAAGCAGAACCACTCCCCGCACCTCATCACATACCTTGACTTAAGCCTCGTGCCAAAGGTCACTGCCAAAAGGCGTAACCAGCCCCAGTTGCCAGTTGGCCAGATGATCTTGTTCCCTGGGACGGGCGAGCAATGGCATCAGGATCTACCAGTGCCGGCATAAGGACGATGACAAGGATCAAAGGTGGATATCTCCCTTGCGGAAGATTTACGGCAGGAAGAGAGGTAAGACGGTCTCCAGCAGAGCCTCCTGTCTATACCGTTCTCACTGAAATGAGGGCTTCAGTCCAACAACCGGCTGAATGTGTGTTAAGCTCCAAATGGAGCGGAGGCACCCAGCCTCATGTTCAGCGAAATGCTGAAGGGGCAATGCGTGATGTTTAGTTGCATGTCTCTTCTGCAAGAATTAAAGGCCTTTTGTAAGTTCACGTGGTAAGAGGCTTGAGGGTTGTCTCAGCGTTTGCTGAGGGGGATTCTAATTGTAGTCACCCGAACAGTCACCTCTCTCCCCATTTAGATACATGGGATTAAACTTCCACAAACATTATAATGAAACAGTACAAATAGTCCATGTCCTTCCCCTGTGGAAAACTCCTTCTTGCAATTCGACCAATTACCGAGAGCAGGCGATGAAGACTATACTCAACCTAGAAACGCAAGAGCAAACAACAAAGCAAAAAAATCGGCCTTCCTTAACCGCAGCAAGCCTTTCGTCTCTGTTTGGAAGAGAGTACAACGATGCCGGAGCATGGAATACAAGTCTCTCGTTTTCTGCAGCTTCAATGAAGGTACAAGAGAAAGCACCCTGACTGGCAGGAAGTAAAAGCTGTAGCTCCTAGAAGCATTTTTTCAATTCCAAATTTGAGCCAACTCTGCCACTTGAACTACTTAAACTTTAACTTGATCAGATGGTGTTCTAGATTCCTTTTCCCGAAAACTCAGCAACCGCCGCGCCTGTCGCAGAGCTTTCGCTGTCTTTCGTGCGCACGGTAAAACTCTGATGTTGGACGATGTTGCTCTCGTTCAGAAGCAAACCAAGAAAATCATGAATCAAGACCTTTCGCTGACCTTTCGCCGTGCTTTCGCGCGTCTTTCGCGCGCCAGAAAACCACCCTGTAAACCCCGTGCTGCGAACTCGCGATATAAAGACCAAAACCAGGGTTTTAGAACAACCCTCAAATGAGTTTGGTTCAGCTGAAGAGAGGAGAAAACAACATCATCCCTCAATCCAGCATTTCCCACCCAAAATGAAGACATCGTTTGATGTGAATATTTTCGACCATCTAAGCAATGGAGCTGGCCCTTTTGTTTTATTATTGAAACAGGCTGGTGCAACTAAATCTTAAATGATAGAAGACGCTGGCCAGTTCTGTTAATTAGTTTGCTGACATGAATGTCACTAACTTTGTTACAGGGAACATCCTGCAGTTCTGTGTCTGCAGAATAGCGTTGGAACTTAATTGGACTAAGTAATTAACTATTTGAAATGGAACGGCAAAACTAGTTGAAATAACACAAACCAAGCCCATGCCAGTTACTCTGTGCGGTTTGGTTGATTACATTGATTAACGTGATTAGGCGACCTAATTAAAGAGGGAAAAGCCTGGCTTGAGGGGTAACTTTTTTTTCGCGTAAATGCGGGATAGGCCCTTACTTCTGACTCTCACAGAAGATTTTTTAAGTTTTCGAGGAGTCTAGCTTTTAAGGCACATGTTCAATATTAAATTTAAATCATTTGGAAAGGTTCAATTGGGCTGGAACCTGACGAACGGTCCACATGGCTCCGAGGAGGGGAAAGCCACGTTTTCTTCGGATGTCGGAACCTTTCGGATTCCGAGGACACATGTTCGGGTGAAATTTGTCGAACCACGGGACAACATTGTTTTGTTTGAATGTGTTACAGTGCTTTCCAGGATTTTCAGAGAATGTAAGGCCTGAGCTGGACTAGCCTGAAAAAACATGGTTTTCGGAAAGAAAGACCAGGGACGACTTCAGAAGCGAAACAACAGTAGATCCGCCGGGGGGATACCAAAGGGATTCAGGTTCAAGTTGCACCTGGATCACGCCAGCCTTTCCTGAACTGAGCCATTGCAACTGCAGTAAGAAAATGTCACAGCCTCCAAACATGCACCACCGCCGAAAGACGCCTGAACCTTTCCCCTGGAACCAGCATCATCAGCATCAGAAAAGACACAATTCCAATCCTAAACGCGTCCCAGCAGTGTCCCCACCCCCTCCCTCAAAGTCTGTGAAATGGGGCCAGGCACCAGCCTGGTCACCTGCCATACCCCTTGAATTTGTACTGATCATCATAGCCTGGCTCAAAACAAAAGAGTCATTAAAACAAAAGAGTTAGAAAGCTTTCTTCACAAAGGGTTTTCAGGAAAGATCAGGAAAATCATGTTGTGAGCTTTTCCTGGGAGGGTGCTGGTCTGCCTTCGCCCTTCAAACAGGATGTCCGGCTTGCCGCTCAGCTGTGCATCAATGGAATCAAGCCCAGGATGATTTTGGTCATCGCCAACGCTAAGGAAAGGCTGCTCATCGCAGCCCTCCGGAGGACTCAGAGGACTGGTCAAGATGCTCTGCGCTTGCCCTTCTTGGCCTGCCAAGACTTGGTGATGAGCATGCAAGCGTGCCCAGCTCGCGCAAGTTCTTACCAAGCCGGACAGAGCTGTCCGTCTCCGACATTTCAGGTAAAGCTGGCTTCAAGTTCGTGCAGCGCTGGCACTGATGGCCTTTGACTTCTCTGGCTTCGCTTTGCCTTGCAGGTCCTGCGTGTAGTGCAAGGTGGTTTCATGAAAATTCTGCACAAAGCACGAGGGCACTAAAGAGTTGTTCCTCGGCTTTGCGCAGGCGTTTGACCTTCTTTTTGACTGTCGTCGCTCCTTTGGGAGGCACCTCGCAAAATCACAAGTTTGGGGCGGTGCGTGGAGCTTCGTGGGCTTGTCATCTCTGTGCGTGTGTCTGCTGTGAAGCATTGCCCGCCTGAGCCTTCCCTAGACACGCCCTTACTGGGACACAACCAGCATTTGGGCTCACTAGTACCTTGTCCTCAAGGTCAGAGGGTGGACACGTGGCAGCTCCACTCGCGACCGTAAGATTTATGCACCCCAATGCTAGACAGCCATCCAGAAATGATATTGCCTACACCATGTTTTTGGTAACATCTTGGCAGGTCGATCATCAAACGACAACGTAAATGAGTTTGAACCTTGTGAAGCACAAATTTGAAGGAGAGAGCAGGCCTTTGTTGATCTCCGGACTGCCTCGCTCGGTGTTTCTTTGGCTCGCTTCTGCTTAGGCTCCTCGAGGGACGTCACTTGCATCTCATTTGCAGTCCCATCAGCACAGCCTCGTCTTCAGCTGCACCACGCGGTGGGTACTTCTGTTGAAAACCACGCGCATCGATCAGCTTCTGACCTTCAAGGCAACAGGCTCCTCAAGTACAAATTTCCCGAGCAGGCATTGGTAGCTTGCAATTGGAGCATTCTCAGGCTCGGGCGGTTTTGCCGCTTTCTTTCACGTGCAGTTTTCTTAGTGCTAGCCTTGGAAGCATCGGGATCGGGACAACATGCTTTTCAGTGGCATCTGGAGGCAGCTCTACCAGCTCAGTGTCTGTCAGCTTGACCATTTGTGGCCTGCCCACACGTCTGCGCAAGGTTGCATGGGTAGCATGGTCGTTGCTGATCTGTTGAACCAAGATCGATTTGCGTTCTCGTGTAAGACTCCAAGCTAAGGGATAATATAGTTTTATACGATCTTGGGACAACAGTACCCCTACCACAAATCAATACTCACATGAAGCTGAAGCTTGCCAACCAACCATCGGTGCAAGTCAGACTGAGAATATGTTTTGATGGCAAACGGGCAAAAGCCGGCGTTTGCTCCAGTAGTTGGTCCGAGGCGCGCATCTCGCCGTCGTATTTAGTGGACGTTTGATTTTTTTCGCCTGCCCAAGCCATAACAACGCTCATCTTTGCATCCCCGACCGCGATCGGTTTCCGTTCATCCATATTCCAAGTGCAGACGGTGACCTAAGCATCCATGCCCGAACTAAAATGATGTTCATCTTTTCTGAAAGCTGCAGGCTGCTATGATGTGCGTGACAGTCACTAATGCTGTAGTAGTAACTAGTAAAATATGATGGTTGGGCAAGAGCATGTTTTACCAAACACCACGGTGAGATATGCGCCGTTGAGCGAATGTAGTACTAGACTCGGCGTGGCCTTTTCTGAGTCAATGCTCAAAATGTGGCCAGCACCTCACCTCAACCCTCCCGCAAGGATTTCTCGAGGATTGCTCAGCCAATGGTTCGACAAGCTGAAGAGAAGCTAGCATCCTTATACCATCGTAGTTCAACGGCATCTTTCCGCATCGATGAAGTTTGAAACCCCCCTTATAGAAAAAATGACATTAGCTTCCCATTGCCTTTCATGTTGCCCTTCAGCACCGAGCTTTGCAACGAAATCTTCAAGGCTGGATGAGGATCTTTGTAGCGCTAAGCTTCGGCTGAGGTCAGTTGTCACGGCCCGTAAATCTAGTGTCCTGAGACCCTGCATTTACGATGGACTCTTGTTCATCGTGCTGTGGCAGGTGCGGTGTCTGGGAACACAGAAGAACAGCCACACATTTGGCAGGCCACCTTGTTGAACTCAAACACTTGATTGTCAAGGAGGCAAAGGAAACAAGCAAGGACCGAGCGAGCAAAACCCAGCTCGGCTCAAAAGCGGCAGAAAGGGTGACCTTGTGGAAGGCTCAAGTCTCATCTATCCTTTCTGAAAAGAGGAGCCGCAATCAATGCCACTTGTGACCAGTCTCAGCAACAACTTCATGTGATGGTTTGGCCTCGAAGTCAACGACAGACTCCATGAAGGCAGGGGTCCAGTGCTCCTGGCAGAGATTGCCCGAGCCTTCAGAACTCCTCAAGCTTCTGCGCCAGCACATGCGTGTCCTCACCCCACGTCGCGTCGTCTACTTTTGCGCGATCCTTCTTCGCACGCTCCGGCCTTGCATTCATTCCTCTTGCACCACTCTGGCATTCAAGATCATGACATCAGTACATGAGCAGAGTCTGGCACACTTTGTTTGAAGTTTTCTTTAACTTCGCCACAAAGAAGCCATCCTTAGCTCAGCTTCTTGCAGAAGCTTGACAAAATCTTGTGCGCTTGGGGCGTGACCATGTTGTGCACGTGGGGGTAGTAGCGACGCGTCAAATTCATCGATGGGTGAAAGCGACGCTCCCGATATTTCGTTAAACCTTCCACGCCAAAGCCTCAGCGAGGATCAGATCAGCTTTTTTGTCAGCACATCACTTTTCTGAGCTGGTTCAACATATGTTCTCTTCTTAGAACTAGCTCGTGCGCTCGGTTTTCTCGAAACATCGTGTTAACAGGCAAGCAAGATAATGTATATGGTTTGTATCACCCTTGCAGCGATCTCTGTTTCTGACCGAAAGATGTAAGTTTAAGGTTTTACTATGAAAATGTCTTGAATGACGACAACCCACAACTGAGGTTATGGGGTCTCATGCAGCCTACGCACCTGCATGTTTCCGTGTTGATTAGTTGAGGGTCGCACTGACGGAGCTGGTAAAGGACACCAACTCAACATTTCTCGTCTTCAGGGCATGGTCCACGACTGCCTGAACGGCAAGCTGCAACATAGAACACATGGACAATGACATGGATGATGCTTCTTCCGACCCATTGTACACTTCGGGGTCTAGACGTCAACCTCACACCCAGCACCTCGGAACCACTTTACACAGTCCCCTTCCACTACTGCTAGGGGGGTGTTCTTGTCCTGATTCAAGCAAGACAAGAATGGGCTATGACGGTCGATTGCTGCCAGCTTTGCGTGAATGTCCTTGCAACTTCACATTTTACGTAGACTGGCTTCACAAATTAAAAAATCTCAAGCAAACGTCACGTGCTGTTAGGAATCATTGTGCGAAGATTTTGGATTCAAAGGTGCCAGGCAGGGACGGCGCAGGCAAATCAGCAAGAGCTACCAGAATGAGGGCGGCCAGCGGTTGCGACAGAAGTGCTGGATGAGGTCTCTTCTCATTGTAAGACGATTCAACTGCCAGTTGTGCCTGGATCATTCTGAAATCTCAAGACCTCTAAACGGACCCCTGCTGACGCGGAAAGAAGGCGCGCCATGGTGGAGCCACGACACAATCCTGTTTCCATATGCAACCTGTTGCTTTGTTGAATTTGTTCTCGATATTCAAGTGCAGCATGACCTAGCCAAAACTTTCTGTGGCCTCATTCTCCTCCACAGACACGGAGCAGGTTGAGTAGACGACGTACCCACCCGTCTTGGAGCCTGCGGGACATACGTTGATTGCTTACAAGTTGCAAGACCACGTCTCGCAGCGCCTGCGTCAACCATGTCAATAGCTGCCGCAAGCAGCTCTTTTTGTAAGCGACTATGGTTCTCAAAGTCCTGCAAGCTGTCAGACTGATGATGCTTTGGCCATGATCGTTCATGCTGCTGCCCTCCTTCTGGCCTCGCTTCACCTTCACGGAAGGGTCCCTGGCAATGATGCCTGAGCCTGCCGGCTGTAGGCAGGTCAGAATGCACTAGGTGAGTTTGGACTTCTCCGCTTCTCTGAGCCTGTACACGGAGCATCAAGCAAAACCTTGGTTCGTGTAAGCCATGACGGGGTTGGATGTGCAAGGCAACGCTATGCATTCTGCGTTTCCCCCAATACCAAAACCTCATGCAGCGCACTGCCTCTGAACAGAGACAGAGAGAGAGAGAG